GAGCACCAGTGGGGCGCGATCTTTTTATGAACTTTGGGATTGGTTTGTGGAATAGACAGATGGGCTGATATGCGAATGACTTTTGTAATTGTGGCAACTTCCCTGCTGATATTGGGAGTGCAAGGACGGTCCGCGCAAAGTCTGGAAGCAGTCGTTCCAAACATGTCCCAGTTAGCTTTTCCTATAGTAAACATTGGCTTCTGTGGGCTTTTAGAAGTGAAAGGAGTGGAAAGGGATGTAAGGATAGGGTAATGATCACTGCCATGCAGATGGGAAAAGGTGTTTGTCATTCAGTATAATAAGGTTTTCAGAGAAGACTAAGTCTTCAATCTAGAACCCCTGATATTTGTGGTGGCAGAGCCCCAAAGAGGAAATCGCCTACGATTATAAATGGGGTGGATATCGTCCGAAAAATATTTATTAAGTCGCTGCAAGAAAATTTTTGTGAAGGTGGTATATAAAGTGAAATAATTGAAAATTGGAAAGATAATGAGATTTCTATTGCTATTGTGGCTATATTTGAAGATACAGGGATTTGTTTGTGTGGTGTGGACTTCTTAATTAAAATAGCGATGCCTCGCTTGCTAGTTAGATTTTGAGGCAAGTTGTAAAAGTAACTTTGGTATTTCAGCCGAAAGCCTTTGATGCTAGCGCTGCGTACTTTAGTTTATTTAATAACTTGTTTATTATGTAAGCTTTAATAAAATAAAAAAAAAAACGTTGGTAAATGATTAGGCGCCGCCGCAGACTTGCCCGCAGCAAGGGTAGTTTCCTGAAGGGAAATAAAACTTGGAGCGTATTCTTTAATTAGTATATCCAATTCGTGAAAGCTGTTGTAGTATCCGTGCATATTCCACTGTAGGAATTAAACATTGTTGCTAGAAGAGGTTGCTAAGGAGGTGTTTGTATGCTATGTTGAGAGTGGTGGATACTTAGTGATCGTCTACTGACATGATCAGAACATCGTTGATGACTTTGTCATCTGAATTGTTTTGCGTGAGACAGAGATTGATAACGGAGGTATCAGTTGTCTCTGTTGAGAATGCAGGTGAACCTGCGTTATTGATAGGAGTTGGATTGAGCGATAATGTTGGCGAGAGTTGATACGAGGTTTAGTTSTGTGTGTGTGAAAGACTGTGGAACAGGAGTGAAAGAGGAGGCTGAGCTATTGATGACTTGTTGATTGCTGATGTTTTGAGGTGAGTTTTCCGGTGGTGAGTTGTTGGAAGAAAGATCGTGTGAAGTCGTAATGGGTGATTTGTTGACTAAAGAATGTGCTGGTATATCAAGAGAATTGGAGGTTGACTTAACGTTACTATTCGACGGCTGTGCTTCTCTGGCAACTACGGCGAAAGAAGTGTTCAATATTGATGGTGATTGTGCTTTGTAGAGTTTAATTGCTTCTCTCATGGAGCATTTATTTTGACATTTTATTTTTAGTATCTCCTTCGTTTGCACATATTTTGGGCAAGTGT